CATGGCCTTCATTAGAAGAAGACTTTTTCCATTTTTTGAAAAGTGAGAGACTTTCAGAAACAGAGAAATAAGGAGCCGAAATCAGACAGCTGACAGATAGCCTATTGGTGCATTTTACCCATTTGTATTGAAAGGCTGAAGAGCAGCCACAGTTACAGCTAAATTGAGCTTTATTGTAAATTTACAGTTTGAAACTATTTATATATCTGGCACATTTTGGCAAGGTTTCCCACACTGGCATACAACAAAATATCAGAAAGCAATTATAGATAGCAGAATAATCTTAGAACAACAGCAGGCCATAGCGAGAGGCTGGAATGAGTTCTTGCAAGAATAAAGGCATTTTCCCTGATACATGCACACACTCTACCTGTCAAACCCTCATTGCCGTTCTCTGAATGAACCTTTGAAGATTACACTAATGGAATGCACTTGTTGATGGATTGCATTATCAGTATTCTATTGTGAGCAAGTTATTATAATATATTTACCTGTCCTTGCAATGCATGTTGCTTTGTTTTTAGAATACAGTTGGCAGGTTTTGCTAGTAGAAACCCAACAGAACTGGAATAGCAGGAATTTTTGGGCTTGCCGATCAGATAACAACTTGCTGTGCACCTGCCACTTTGTTCTTGGCAATACTAGATGTCACCCCTCTCACATTTGAGATAATGATATTTAAACTCAGGGTTCTGAAAGGAGTGAACTTTGAATTTGGTGCTGAAAAATATGAAGTTCCTATTTTTAATGATTTTTTTACAAGCAAGTGGCTAGTCCCTGTCATTGTCAAAGTGTGTATGTATATGTGTATGCTCTCTAATAAAATCTTCCAAGATTGAAATAAGAGTGGTGTTTTACTGTTAGGCTCACTTTGGCTATAACTATGATTGAATGAAGTAGACTAAAATCAAACAACTATGCTTAAATATTCTAGACTTGCAGAAGTTAAGCTATTATAGGACCATAGCTTGCAAACTTTGTATTGCAGTCATGGATTGTTTTACTTCATGTATATAACTCATAGAAAATTGTCACTCACCTTTATAGAAGTTGATAATGTCTGTGACTTTGAATATTTAGCTGCATGATTTGAGTATTGTAAGCTGGCTGTTTCACAATTCTTACAAGGTTACCCATGCAAACACCCTTAATGGCAATAGTGGGAACTGGTTTTTTTTCCACGGTAGTAGAGAATGAGTAACACCTAGGACATGCCATATAGAAACTGCAGCTTGATGTAGTAGAGCTTTATGTAAATACAGTATGACCCCTTTATCCATGGGAGATGCCTTCCCAGACTCCGTGTGCATACATAAAACCATAGATAATAGTAGCAAATCCTATTATTTTCAGTAGGATGTATGACAGAGATACTGAGGAGAAGATATTGCTTGTACAGGATGTCCTAAGCCAGTGCTTCTCAACCTTCCTAATGCCGCGACCCCTTAATACAGTTCCTCATGTTGTGGTGACCCCCAACTATAAAATTATTTTCGTTGCTACTTCATAACTGTAATTTTGATACTGTTATGAATCATTATGTTATGAATGTAAATATCTGATCTGCAGGATGTATTTTCATTCACATGACCAAATTTGGCACAGATATGCGATATGTCCAAATTTGAATACTGGTAGGGTTGGGGGGTGGGGGGTGGGGTGGAATTGATTTTGTCATTTGGGAGTTGCAGTTGCTGGGATGTGTAGTTCACCTACAATCAAAGACCATTCTGAACTTCACCAACAATGAAATTGAACCAACCATGGCACACAGAACTCCCATGATCAATAGAAAAGTGTTTGATGGGCACTGACCTTGAGTTTTGAGTTATAATTCACCTACATCCAGAGAGCACTGTGGACTCAAACAATGAGGGATCTGGACCAAACTGGCACTGATACTCAACATCTCCAAATGTGAACTCTGGTGGAGTTTGAGGGAAATAGACCTTGTCATTTGGGAGCTGTAGTTGCTGAGATTTATAGTTCACCTACAATCATAGAGCATTCTGAACCCCACCAATGATAGAATTGGGCCAAACTTCCCACACAGAGCCCCCATGACCAACAGAAAATACTGTGTTTTCTGATGGTCTTTGGTGACCTCTCTGACACCCCCTTGGGACCCCCCAGGGGTCCTGACCCCTAGGTTGAGAAAAACTGTCCTAAGTGAATAACTAATTAAGTGAAACCACAATTATCCATTCTACGGATCTAGGGGTCATCCTTTAGTCAAAAGTCATTAGCTATCATTCATGCTAGTTTGGGTTTGTGGCAAACCTCCTTATATTTCATTTTAAATAAGTCTCAGAATTTGATTTGAAAAATCTCAGGTTCCACAACTGGAAAATTTTGCAATAAAACACACTATTGATAGACTTTCATTTTGCATATGTTCATATGCTCTTCATATTTTGAAGAGTATTGGAGATTGCAGAGCAAAGATTAGAATAATAAGGAAAAAAGAGGGAAGAGAGAACTAATGTTACTAGTGTAACACATTAATTTTATAATGTACAGTATTAATGTACAGTACACCATTAAAATCAACCTTAATGGGTTAATTTCCAAAGTATGCTAATGCTAACATGTTAGCTTTAATGCTAATGTTTCTAAACTGTTAGGTAGTCCTCCAGTCTAAATTCCCAAAAGCTCCAGATCTCGTCTGATTGTAGAAACTAAAGAAGTACAGGTCTGGTTAGTACTTGAATGGAAGACCACAAACAATGAATAACAGGCGCTGTAGGCTATATTTCAGTGGAAAGAACCTGACAGAAAATTCTCCTTATCTAAGAAACCCATATGAAATTTATGTGATTGATCTAAGTTCCCAGGAGACTTGAAGGCATATAGACACATGGAGACAATAGATTTGGGGTATTGTGAAAAGACAGAAAATATTCTGTATTGTTATCAGGAGAAGAAGGAGGTGCTTGTGTGAAGAATGGTGTGTTAGTATCATGGTTTTGCTTAGTTCTAATGGTTTGGGAAAAAACAAAACAGAAACATGAGAGGAAAATCAGGTTCTTTTCTTTTCTCTGAAACCTATCCCCTTCCCCATGCCTGAATAATTCAAAAGAGCCTGCACCCAAAGATTACAAAATGTTTCCTTTTGGATTGATCAGTAAAATATTTTAAAACAAAGCATTTATATGTGCATTCCTCTAGATCAGGGCCATCAAACTCATTTTCATCGAGGGCCACATCAGTCTTATGATTGCCTTGAAATGAGCATTAAATCTGTGGATGGAGAATCTGTGGATACAGAGGGCTAGCTGTAATGTTTTTACATAGTGGTCAATGCTCTTTAGTTTTTACCCAAATTAGGTCCCCAGATGTCCCCAGATGTCATTGAATGATAATTTCCACCAGTGCAATGCAGACTGGGATTAATGGGAACTGCAACCCAACAGCACTTCTGGCTCTGAGGTTAGAGAAAGGTTAAAGGACATTTCAAAGTCAGATATCATATTCATAACCCTTGTATATAAATTCAAACCCCACTATCCTGCCTAAACGTAATACATTTCAGCCTTCCAGATGTTACTGTATCACAACTCCCACCAGCTCTAGTTACGTTATCTAATGGTAAGGGATACAAGAGTTGTAGTCAGCATTTGATGAGGCATATAAAATGGCATGGAGGCCAGACCAAAGCTTCCAGCAATGGAAAGGAATACTTTGGGGTGTGTCTACACTGTAGAATGAATCCAATTTAATTGCCCTGGTTTAATGCTATGGAGTCATGAGGGCTATAGTTTCACAAGGTCTTGAGCCTTCTCTGCCAAAGGATGCTGGTGACACACCAAACTACAAACCCAAGGATTGCATAGCATTGAGCCAGGGCCATGAAATTTTAGATGATATCCCTTAAATAGGAGATCCAGGTGCTCCTAAACCAGCTTCCCCTTTTGTTTTGGCTGAACACTAAGATTACCATATCACGCAAAGGTAATTTTGGTGAGGTAATTTAGCCAAAAATGGATTTGAGTAAATAGGGTATGTAATGGAAAGACATTTTAAAATTCAAAATTTAAGACTATAGTATCAGGTTATTGGATTGATGTCTCCTTGACGCTGGATTAAAGGAGATGGTGTTTGTTTGTTTGTTTTTCCAGGTTTAACCTGTTTTTGTTTTGTTTTGTCTGTTACTCATAATTTAGCAGAAGGGATCTGTACATATAACCATTAGCCAAGGTTCTTGTACTACCTTTCAGAACACTTGAGTAATCACATTGTCTCCACTGGAGCAGCCATGAGGGAAAGTAAAAGATATAATAATGGAACACAGGACAGATGGCCCTAGCATTAGAATGTGATTAACAATTTGCTGTGCAGGCCAGAACAGTATCCATTTCACTTGCTGAGAGATGATTGTTTTCCCAGAACTGGTTGTAGTAAATACCTCCTTGTTCATATGCAAGTCTTCTGGCAAACACACAGGGAAAGCTGACTAGCTAACCGGAGTCAATGCCCCTTTTGCATTCACCTTTGGTCAATGCAAAGTTCCTGTTTTATATTTGTCATGCAGACATCATTTTAATGAATTTGATTAGCAGCAGGGTGGTTCCATACAGGACTATTGTTTTTCTGTTGCTTCATTACTATTTCCTAAAACAAACTAGGTGAGTTTGTCTGGGAGATGAAATTGAAGGTTGTCCTATGCAAATGGTTATTTTAGAATGTATGTCCATGTTTGTTGCAAGAATTGTGGAGCATAATGTATGCACTAACAACTCATATAGTAGTTGGTATGGGAGCTGTTCTTGCTGTTACAGAGTAATGAAGAAAATTCCTTATCTTATTAAGAAATGGAAGGTATATTGACCATGACGAGTCCACTAGGAGACTCATAGAATCATGGAGTTGGAAGAGACCTCATGGGCCATCCAGTCCAACCCCCTGCCAAGAAGCAGGAAAATTAAATTCAAACTCAACTTTGAACTTTTCAAGAAAAGTAAAACTACCTTCCAATCTCTCTGTAATTTTCTGTTTCTTAGGTCTGGAGCACTCTTTGAACTGAGACAAAAATTTCCAAGGTCAACAGGAGGAGACTTGGTGAGTTTTCTCTGGGTATTCAATTGTCTTTTTATCAGATTTCTCATTTCCGTTTGTTTGAACCACAGATGATGAGAGAAAAAGATCTTATGCTTTTTAAAAACATTTGCTACTGTTTCATAGTTCACTTATTTTTTTGGTAAACATCATCTCCATAGATGAACTTCTCTGGTTGCATTGCCTGCAGACAACTTGGTTGTTTTTCTTAACATCATATTAGAGCTCCATGCAACATACTGGCATCCTGTTGATTAATCCCAACTAGAGTAGACCCATTTAATCAGAGACAACATATAGGTAAGTTCTATTATTGGGCTTACTCTAGTCAGGTTTAACAACAGGATTTAGACTTTTCTGTTAGCAAAGATATGGATGAATATGGAAATATGTCTAGTTCACATATATTTCAACTATAATTAGGAATGGGAATTGTAGACTTGGGGCCTTATTATATGGTATGTAAAAGTAAGTGCTTTGAAAGATGTTGGGATCCAGATTCACTGCTCTCATTTTGGACAGATGTGATTCCCAATTGTACAGAGTACTATTTACAAGTTTTCTCCTTTTTACTTATATCTTTTTGTCCTAAGAATTTTCCATTGCTCCCTGAGCTTTCTAGATGGTGAAATGTTAATGTGCAAGAAAGTGGAGATATCAAGGATCCATTCTTCCAAACAAATCTAATGGACCACATGAGTGATTGGACTTGAGCCATTTCCCCTTTAGAAATAACCTTCTGCTCCAGCCACAATGAAAAATATGCTTGTGGGGAGGGGCTACAGGGAGGTAAACCAGGGAGCACTAGAGAAAGGACTTTTTGCTCATAATACTTGCCTCTCCTGCCCAGCCCCATTCATGATATTGCTCTGAGTCTGGAGCCATTTTTTTCCTAGTCCCCATGAAGTTTATTAGTTTAATTCTTTCACAGTTATACTGCTTCCAGTTTCACCCCAAGTAACTTCATTATTGATACAATAGTGCATGTCTCAATAGTGGCTCAAGTTATTTTGTATAGCAGTTAGCACATAAATCAGAGGTGGGCAATCTCTTGGTCTCATGCAGTCCTTGGTCTTACTCATGTTTCCCTATACATTTTATTTCAGTCATGTGTCCCTGTCTCAAGGAGAATGGGAAGGAAGTCCTGACAGGTAGGCAGTCTGGCTCATGTGCAAACACAGACCCTACTGCAGAGTGTAGAAATGAGAAGAGCATTATGTCTTGATGAAGGATGCTTTAGGCATCCTATTCTGTGATTTGGATTTTGTACATGCCTCTGCCTGCCACTGACTCTTCTCTTTCCTTGTGGTAGCAGTAGTTCAATGGGAAAGCATAAGAGATCTAACCAGAACAGAATGAAAATTTACTAGCACTTTCATGATGTACATAATAGAATAAAAGTATTTCACAGAGAACACAATTCTAAAATAAGCTACCAGGTGACATTTGTGTATGCCATTCATGGTTTGTGTGTTCCCTCTGGGGAACACCAATATAAATCTGATATAGACAATGGGAATTTGTTTCGCTGTAGAGTAAGAACCTGCTTTAAGAGTGACTTCATCTTTTATGGTGAGCTTGTGGTTTGCATGATTGTATAGAATGAGAACTGGTGTTCCCCAGAGGTATCATATAAACCATGAATGGTATTCACAAATCTTGTCACCACATGCAGTTATTTAAAAAATCTTGTCCATGTTCCTGGGAGATCTGATGTATGTACAGTGGGTCAGTTGTGTCTTGTGGCTTCCATGCCAGTGGAATGAAGAGGCTACTTCAGGGTTTAATCTGAATTTTGAAGGAGCAGTTTAGTACTTTGGACAGCTCCTTTAAGTTCAGACTCAGACCAGCCACCCTCTGACCCTGGAGCCACCAACTGGCATATACTTGCTGTGGTGAAATATCCTTGTTACTGTTAGAATTTGGAAATATGATCACATTGGCTTGGGGATTCTGGAAACTGCAGTTAAAAATAACTTTCCCAACTATTGCAAATGTGATTGCAGCATGAAAGTGTGTAATCTTTTCTTCTAAATTAATTCTTGACTGGGCATAAATCTTGTTGTTGCTTCTTGTTAGAATAGAATCATATAATCAATTTCTGATTTGTAAGACAGTACTGATTTGAATCCCATAAAGACCCATTGGGGTCTTCTCTAGGTGGAAATAGCAATTGGGCTTTGCCCATTTGAAACAATCAGCTGACCTTTTTCAGATCCGCCTAGGTATCTTTCATTCTTCTCTTGTCAATGGCATCATGCACCATTAGTTGCGGGTATTCAGATAAGACAAAACTTGGTAATATTTCTTCTCCAGGATAAGGTTTGTGTCAGTCACCCTCTAGAACAAGAGGGAAATCCCCACTCAGTGTGTACAAAGCACTAACTGCAATCTTGTCAGGGCAAATAAATATCATCCCGGTGACATAAGGGGAATCCATGTCTTTGAGGAAAGCTGTAAATGGGTCACTGCCATGGGTGAAGATAAAATGCATGCATGTGCCTCCAGGGCTATCAATTTTTCTCTCTGAACTGGTCGGCTTGTAAATTTTTACGAGCCATTCCTGCCCAGTAATTCCAAGGGACTTGCTCTACATTATTGCAGGGATTGGTGATTCTATTCTCTCTCTTTTTCTCTCCCCCCCCCCCCCCCCCCCACACCCCTCTCGTGGAAAGGGCAGCACCTCATTCATAAAAGGCTTGTGTATGCAGAAGGTAAATCCTTGGCATCTTGAGATAGAATTGGGAAATGTCTGCCTGAAACCCAAGAAAACCAAACAATGTGGGCAGTTCTGGGTTAGATGGCTTATACCAAGTATAAGCTCATTCTGGACTTTTATCTCATTAGCCACCAGATACACCACAGATTGTGGTGAATACATTGGGCCCTGTGGGAGGTTCGGAGGAAACCCTCTGCCCTGTATCATTTGACCTCCCTCTTACCCCATCCCATGGAGGAAGCATCCACCGCCCAGCCTTCCCCCCATTCTTGCCAATGCAACATGGGAAGCCTCCTGTGTTGGCGCTGTGGCAGCGTAGGCCGGTTCCCCTTCACTTTTGTCACAGAGCCCGACTAGAAGTAGATGTACATTGCGGGATGGGAGCTAGTGGGCTCCTTGGCAAAAGTGAAGAGGAACTGATGTATGCCACTGAAGTTGGCCTGTCTGATGAGGTTGTCAGTTTTGACATGTCCCTTGCCCATTTCTAGTACACAGTTCAGATACTGCTCTTTGAAGAAGAATGTGTCCCTTATGCTGTAAAATGTTCTCTATCCCTACTTTATATGTTGCATTTCCTAGAATTCTGCCATGGCAACAAGAATAGTTTGGCTTTGGGTATTGAAATTGATGATTTTGTATATTTAAGTCTAAATGAACTGGAAATAAGAGATATTTCTAACACGCATTTAGCAACTGAACAGAAATAAGAAAAATAAACCTCATGTTATCTTTCTTCTCACCATGTTTAAGAACAAGTAGAAGGCCTATCTCCACCTAATCATCATTTGCATCCCTTTTTTGATACTACCTGTCAAGATGAAGTACACCTATGGCCATGTGCTTGCCAACATTGTCTTAATGTATCTTTGACAGCTACTGTTTTAGAAAAGGTTTCCTCTCCCCTTTATTACCATCTGCTAATCTATCCTGTTGCTTTGCTGTTTTTTTTAAATACCTGAGATTACTTTGGGAGTGTGTCAATAATCTAAGTCAGTGAAGAGAGAGAGAGAGAGAGAGAGAGAGAGAGAGAGAGAGATTTATAGATAGGCCTTGATATGTATCTCAGTGCTTGGCATGCTTCCTTGCTCTAGCTCAATCTCTAACATGTGTTCAAACCCTTTGTAGCTTTGTTTTGAAAGGCATGCTTTGCCTCTGACCTCTTGTGAGACCTGTTCTGCTAAAGGTTAAGGTGAAGATACATTTCTGTCTGCTCCAGTGATCCTATCCAGATAGTGATAACTATCATAATGAGAGTGAAATTTAATCCATGTGTGACACTGTTGCCTTCATCTGTTGATGGCTTACAATTCTTTCTAAAGTTAAGATTTTGCTTTTCCTGCTGTACGTCTAGCTGGCGATCCTATTGAAGGTCACAATTGCTCAACTTGTTCTGAAATACCTTCTTGTGGAATTACTGCATTGATGCTGAGAAAGAATCTGTATTGGAGTCCATTCACACATGGGGATTACAATAACAATGGGAAGCGAATTCCTCTAAAGTGTAGGAAGAACAACCCTGCACTCTTTACTTGCATGTCTCCTTTGGTTTGAAACTCAACTTCCATCACATCAGGGCTTACATTTGTTAATCTGTCAGTGTCTATTTTAGCCTGATAGAAATCCTGACCATTTTTATCTGTTGTACTGCTTATCTGGAATCTCAGTCTTCCTGGTGATAAAGATACTGTTATGGTTATGTTATTCAACAGCCCCCTTAGCTCTTTTGCTCATCGTCTGATTGTGTCTTTAACAACCTGGCAGGATTCTTCTTTAATCTTTAGAATTTCTATTTTCCCTGGACTCCAGACTTCTCGCTTCTCTCGCTAAAAACAAATTGATGAATGCTCTGCAGTTAGTAAGCTTACATGCAGACAATGTGAAGTAAAGAGAACTCTGTCTTTGAGATGTTTGAATGTACAAATTGTTAGATCTCCAAAATTTGAACCCTGACTGTGATTGAAAGCTGTTCTTCTCAAAGCTTTTCAGTTTGTACAGTACACTTAGTTTCACCTCCAAGTGTGAGCATGTCAGCAAGAAAAAAAGAAAAGCATACTGCATTACAATTAAGTTGGTGGTTAACCTGTCAGCCTGGAGGAATTTCCAGGACATCTGCCCCAATTTTTCAGTTTTTGTTATAAAAGAACTGAAGCATCCAAACTGCTTGAATTCAGGCCTGAGAAGACAGTCTTTCCTTTGCATCCAGTCTTCTTCAGAGCATCTTTGCCATTTTCAAGTGTGTATTTGCATTCAAAACATTATGTGTCTGTGTGTACAGTCATTGTGGGATCTGATGCCATAATCTCACCAAGCTTGCCATCTAGCAAAGTGTTTGCTTGGCTGAATGCTGAAGCAAAAATGTTGCTGTGTGGAAGGCAGTTTAATGATCACAGGATAACCAAGTAATCCTTGTGAATTTTCTGCCCATCTGAGGAAATGGAAGGGGTCTCCTTGAAGTTAATCAGATGGCAGGAAGTGGCTACTATTGGCAATGTATGTGTGCATGTGGCAGGGTAACTAGCACCATGTGTGTTCTGGGCTGCTACTGAAAAACACCATGAATAGAATAATGCCATCTTTCAACTCTATTCTCACAGCTGATAGGGAAGTACAACAATGCAGGGTGGGTGTTGTTCTGCTTAAAGAAGTGGGTGGTGTTCTTTTATGTTTTTCTAGATTGAAAACAGAGTCAAAGTTGAAAAGAACAGCACTTGAGATTAGATGTTGAGGTTTTAGTGGCATTTTATGTATGATTGTAAACTAATTTGGGGAGAAGGGCAGGATATAAATGCAATAAAGTAACAAACAAGCAAATAAATATCTCATCTCTGTCACTATGGCTATTTTATCAAAGTTCCTTGTTTCACATGTTGAAGGATTATTTTTATTTTCTTCTTTTTCTTTTTGCTGGTTTCAAAGTTCCTTTCAGAGTAAACTTGGAGTCTGATAGGTATTGGATATAGAGATCTATTGCAATCAGAAGTACCACAACCTTATTATTATGATTATGATTATGATTATTATTATTATTATTATTACAGTAGAGTCTCGCTTATCTAACATAAACGGGCCAGCAGTATGTTGGATAAGTGAAAATGTTGGATAATAAGGAGGTATTAAGGAAAAGCCCATTAAACGTCAAATTATGTTATGATTTTACAAATTAAGCATCAAAGCATCAGTTCAATAGGTTACTGTATTTATGAATTCAGCACCAAAACATTGCAATGTATTGAAATAGCCGTGGATCTGGGTAGGAGGCAGACTGCATTGCATAATACAGAACATTGGATGAGCAAAGGTTAGATAAGTGAGACTCTATTGTATTTACTTTACATATACTATAAAGCCCTGAATGGTTTGGGACCCACCTTCCTTCGTGACTGCATCTCCTACCACCAACCTGCACAATCTCTCTGGTCCTCTGGGGAGGCTCCCCTTTCATCTCTTCCTTTATCACAGGTAAGACTTGTGGGAATGAGGGAGAAAGCCTTTTCCGCTGTGGCTCCCCGTCTTTGGAACTCACTACCTGGTGAGATTAGGCAAGCCTCCTCCTTAGCATACTTCAAAAAATAATCTGGCTCTTCCATTGTGCCTTTGGGGAATGACCACCTATTCGACTTCTGTTTGCCCCATATATAGTGTTGCCCCTATGATGCATTTTCCCCTGCCCTAAACTGAAAGCCACACCCCACTGTTTTATCCTTCCTGGGGCCCCCTCACTTACACATTTTCTATTCCTACCTCACCCAGGGTTTTATCATTTTATTTCATCCATTTGGCCTGTCTATCCTGTTTGATTTTATATTATGTTCATTTGCTTTATTGTTTTGTTTTGCTACTGCAATTATTTTTTGATGTAAGTTTTGTTTTTACATTCTGTATTTTATTGTGTTTTTTGGGCTTGGCCTCAAGTTAGCTGCCCCAAGTCCCCATTGGGGAGATGGTGGTGGGATATAAATAAAGATGATGATGATGATGATGATTATTATTATATTATCCCGCCTTTCAAGGCGGCTAACAATCCCAACCTTCTAGCAATTTTCAAAGATGCAGTCATATTAATCTGTTGTAGCATACAAAGGTAAAGAAGAGGAATCTTGCAGAACTTTTCAAACTAATTTATTTTATCATGAGGTTTTCTATATTTTAATCCACTTCTTAGGGTGTACTGATATTAAAGCATGGGTGTTTAAGGACAATTATATAATTGAAGATGGGATAAGGTGCAAAAATACAAAAAGATGAAAAAGTTTACAGTTCAGTTTATTCTATTATGTTCTGACCGATCCACCCACCATGACAATTTGTATCTTACTGTATCTTGTTATATACCCTGTTTTACTCTCATATGTAACAGTGTTTAAATACCCGTTGCTTTAATATCATTCAATTAGTGTACCTCAAAAATGGATTAAAATCCCCAAGAGCTCATTCTGAAATAAATCAGGCATTATTAGAGGTGTGCTAGACTTTTTTCTTCCCTTTCTCTCTGCTTTTTTAGTATAGTTATAATGGTCTCTGTGAGGTACAGCTGCAGGCTACTTGTAGATGGCAACATATTCTAATGATGTCTTCCATCTGAACTTCTTCTATGAAGAATACAGACATACCAGGGAGAAAGACTCTGCCCTAGCTGTTTCTGTTGAAATATATATTTCATTATGTGGACAGGTTTACTTTTTTAATGTGTGAGAAACTAGCATTCAAATATGTGTGCATCCATTACCCACAGTTGAAAATAGAGAAATGTTAGGACCTCATCATATTGACCGCAGGAATCACCATGGATTGTGGCGAATCTGACAGTGTCCATCAGGGGGTGTGGAGAACCCGTTGCCCCATGCTCCACATCACACGACTTACCAGAAACACTACCCCACAGAGGGAAGCATCCGCTGTCCGGTTTCCCTCCATTGTTGCCATTGCAACATGGGAACTCTCCTGTGATGTCATGCTTCCTCTTTAGTTTAGCATGGAGTCCGGCCAGAAGTAGCTGTACATTGTGGGATGAGAACCAGTGGCTCTGTGGCTGAATTAAAGCAGAACCAGCCTATGCTTCTGAAAACAGGCACATCTGATGAGGTCATAAGGCAGTCCTATGTATTTCCGAATATGTATTTCCTCTATTTCTCTAGCAAATGTGATTTCAAGATGGATACAGGTTTCTTACAACTAAGCTAAATACACTCATTTGTGCATGTGTGTGTGTGTGTGTGTGTGTATGATACAATTTAATGCATCCATCCCAGTGTTATGTGTTTCACAACTCAGTTCAGAAACTATTGCTGTTATGTGCCTACAAGTTGACTCAGGCTTACACCAAAGTTTTCTTGGAATGATTTATTCAGAAGAGGTCTGTCATTGCCTTCCGCTGAAAGAAAGTGAAGTGCTCAAGGCCACCCAGTGGATTTTCATGGCTGAAACAATTCATCCTAATTAAATACTTAGACCACTAAACCATTCCCTGGCTAAATGCAAATGTGTGTTGAACCTGAGACATCATGTGAGAATGTGGGTTGAAGACTTGTCTTGCTGCAAGATGGTACAAGTCATTGTGTTTCCTATCTTGATGATGTTTTGCAGACACTCAGATCATGATTATTCTAAGCAAGCATTTTAGGATACTTATAAAAAAGAAGTGGAATGACAGCCCTCTCAAAGTAAATATGAGTCTGTTATCTATCTTTGGCTTCATTCTACACCTTGAACAAACTAGCATGTTTGTATATCAAACAGGTAAGAGATAAAGAAGTGACCCGAGCCTTTTTAGTATTCCTTTTTTAAAGATTATGTCTGTTTCAGTCAATCAGCTGCTGCTACTGAAGAGATATGTTGTTTAAAATCTAAAAGTTAGATGACAGTTTTGTGCGTGTAACCCATTGGTTTTCTTAACATAATAATTGCCATGATGGTTCTAGAGAGTTGCTGGAAGCTGAAGTCAGTGAGTTTTTAAGATGGCTGGATTGGGTAGGAGTCTTCTTTTATAAAGTATCATTTGATTCTTCACTTTTCTTAAAAAACTATCATTCAAGAACAAATTCTACAAAGGAGATTTTTAACCTCATCTTTTATGTTGCTCTGATACATTTTTGAAACAATGATGGGATAAAATCTAATCTGAGCTTTCAGTGACTTGCATATCAGTGATCATCTAACCCAATAACTTTCCAGGAAACAATAAAGATCTCACAAGGAAGTGTCACATTCCCATTGTTCCTACCCTTTGCTTTCTCTCCAAGTGACAAGATTACACTCTATAGTAGTATATAATAATAAGCCAGTACTATGTAATGTGTAGTCCTCCAGATTTTGGCTTCCAATGACCATACTTTTTCAGCAATCACTATGCCATTCTTTTTCTATGTTGGTCACCGCAGTTTCAGGGTATATTGGTGTGGTGTAATGGTCAGAGTGACTACTTGGCGACCTTAGGCTGATCACTAATGGCCAGGATTGTTGTAAGGCTAAAACTAGGAGACGGGGAAACCATGTATGCTGTTGATTAGAGAAAGGGTGGTCTATAAATGTAATGAATAGATAGATACTGTTGGTTCAGTCTTCCTCCCAGTACTGCGTTTGCCATTTTATTTGTCATATGCATTTCTTCACTGCCCGTTTGTGATGTGTATAGGATGGAAAATCATGACGTGTTTCTGTAATACCTCACCCCCGCTACCCCCATGTTTCTCTTTTGGTATGCCTTGATAACTATCATCTTGTAACATGTGTTCCCATTGAAATTTCTGTTGGTTTCTTAGTTCTCCAGCAAAATTCATTCCTTACTGAAAGCACACATTGTTTTCATGACAAACCTTTTATTGTATTTCAGTCTTTGTCTACTTCTGTTAATGATCTTTGCTTTCTGCAATTTGTTCTATTCAATCTGTTCATATTGTAAGTAGCACCCTGGATAGCTCCCTGAGGTCTTCTGCACCTAATCCATATGATGCTTCTCAAGCAACCTCAGATTAAAATTTAAATATGACCTGAGCCTACTATGGGATGCAGCCGTGACAATTAAAGTAGAATCCAAGTATTATAACTGAGTTATTTGTTCCCTCATAGCCATCAACATTGCTAACAGTTGACCATTGCCTTCTAGTGGAACATTCCAGGTTCACACTGCACAGTTATAATACTTTGAGAGCATATTGCAACACAGTCTTAATTGAAACTTTATCATTTAGTTTCACCTTACACTATTTGAAATTGTTCTCTACTCTGGGATCTTTGGATGGAGGATGGGATATATGTATTTTGAGATGTGTGTGTGTGTGTGTGTGTGTGTACACGTGTGTGTATGTGTGTAATAGCATACATTCATTTTGTGTGCTTTTTACATTTGAAGTGTATTTTTAGTCTGGGCTTCATCCTTCACTCTTCAGTGTGATACATATTTGGATGCAGTGTTCTTCCACTCTCGACCCAAACCAGTTGGATACCTTGTTTCATTTTTTCACCCATTTTCTCATTCAGTTGCAGGAATATGCCCCTCTCAATTATATTTTTGGTCCTCAGACCTTGTTTCCCAAAATATGTTTGTGAACATGTGTGCACTGCAAGGAGAAACATACGTCATAATTCCTCCAAGAAGTGGAGATCTCCTGTTGCAGCTGTGGAATAACAAAACTGCATTTATGTAAGGTTTTGATGGACATTACACTCTGTATCATCTAGTAGTGGGTCTGAAGAGGAATTCATCCCCCAAACATGCCAACATTATCCAGTCCTGTTTTGTATTTTGTGTTTTCCGCTATCTTTTTTCTTGTGGACTGTACAAAGAGACTTTGCTTCTCTCTCTGCCAGCGATTGAATTCTCTTTTGGGACAATTCAGCTGAAATTCAATCTTAAATAAATTCGTCCTGCAACCATTTTTTTTTTTTGGCCTGCATGTGCTTGGAATTTTTATACTGTCTAGTCCCTTATCAATGAATCTTTTAATATGACCAAAATTGCTTCTGACTAGTAACAGCATCTTTAAATTGATGCATTTTTCGATCAATACCTTGTCCTATTGCTTGATCTTAGGTGTGCCCAAGGTTGCAGAGAGCATCAGAAAAGTCCATTTATTGCGGTCAAGGTAGACAGTTTTTAGAATATCTACACAGCTTGTATCTTATCCCTTTTCATCTTTTTTTAATCAAATGCGAAACCAGTTTCATTTTACAGTATTTCCTTTCAGTTCTGTGTTCACTTTGCTCTCCAGCTCATTCACACCTGAGCAAATTTCTTGGCTTACACATTTTAATATCCTTGGTAGTTTCTCCTGCACTCTTCTTTCTGTTGTTCCACTGTCTACTCAACATTGTATTGTTTTTGTCTTGTTTTTGTGAAAGTTCTAGTCATCTTTTTTTAAAAAAAAATCAGCTGCCTTTGAACGCACAAGGGTCATACAGCACCCTCTCATTTTAGTAATAGTACTACTACTACTAGTAGTAATTGAAATCAAATGTGATGT